ATTTTTTTTTTTTTTTTGGTCCTCCAGGGAACTTTGTTTTTGTTTTTTTTTTTCTCCAGGGAACTTTGAAGACTGCTTTTTTTTTTTTTTAAATTGATTTCATAATTTTTTTGTGTGTACCGTCAAATCAGATCTGACTGGTACAGGAGGTGATTGTTCCTCCTTCTCCAGCAGAGCATCTGGTAGATTCGAACCGTGAACCTCTGAGATTGCAGTGCAACTTCTTGCCACTAGGCCACCAGAGCTCGCCTGAAGACTGCTTTTAAGTCTTCCTTTCTTTCTTTTTTTTAAACCCTTTTAAAAAATTTTATTAATTTGTGTGTGTGTGTGTGTGTGTGTGTATCATCAAATCAGATCTGACTGGTGGATTTGAACCATGCTGCCACTAGGCTACCAGAGCTCCCTTTAATTCTTTCTTTAAAAAATACAAAGAAATACAAGGGGAAAAAATTTCTTCCCTGTCACCCAATTATAAATCTAGAATCTAGTGAATGTTAGATCAATGTTGGAAATGGTAATGTGTGTACTCTGCAGCATATTTTAAAACTGCTTCTCTGAATAGTTGAAATTGCTTGACTTACTAATACTAATGATTGACAGTTGAGTGGCTTAAATAGTTTCATTTTCTACATTTCCTTATATGCTGTCATCTTTCTCATTTTTGTAAACCTTACTCTTTTAATTTTGCATAATGACAGTTTATGTTCCTTTGGGAAATTAGTAAACTATTAGTAGCAGCATTTTATTGATTTGAATATTAATACTTCAAGGTGTTTTTTTTAACTTGCCTAGTTTTTTTCTTTTTAGATATAGTAAAAAGATACATGAATATATGTTTACCAAAGGGTAAAGATTAATCTTTCTTTTCCTAGCTCTCAGTTCTATTCCCTATAAGTAATTATTTTTTTTAAAAAAAGTAATTTATACAATTTGTAAAACCTTTGGCATAACAGAAAATAAAATTAGTAAGTTTACCAAAATATTCAACTGAAGAATCAACTACTTTGAATGAAGATTCCTCTGTCCTTTTAGAAAGGTACACAGTTACCATTTTTTTTTCTTTTGTATTTTTCTTTACTCAGATACCCTTTATTTATTCTGTAGCTGGCTTTCCCCTTTGCTTAATTATATATCTTTTTTTTCCCTACTAGTTTATTTACAAAACTCAATTACAGGGGAGCTCTGGTGGCCTAGTGACAAGGAGCTGCAACTACAATCCCAGAGGCTCACGGTTCGAATCCACCAGATGCTCTGCCGGGGAAGGAGGGACAATCTCCTCCTGTACCAGTCAGATCTGATTTGACGGTACACGCACACAAAAATTAAACAACAACAACAAAACAACAAAAAAAACAACTCAAATACAAATTTGAACAAATTCTTTCCATTCCCCCGCATCAAATTGTACAACCCAATGATTAATCCTCCCCTCTCCCTGCACTTCCACATCCCTCTGCTTCCAGTATCTCCCACCCCTCCTGGATCCTTATACTAATGGTTTTATATGATATTTGTCCTTGTGGGACTGAGTTAGTTCACTCAGCGTAATGCTCTCCAGTTCCTCCCAAATTAGGTAATTACAAAGTTCTTGCTCCTGCATGCTGCTAAGTATTCCATTGTGTGAATGTACCGTAATTTCTCAATCCATTCATTTGTGATTGGACATTTGGGCTTTTTCCATGTTCTTGAGATTGTAAATAATGCTGCTATGAACATTAGTGTACAAATCTCAATTTGTGCCTCAGTTCTCATATTCTCAGGGTATATTCCAGGTAGTGGAATATCTGGGTCATATGGAATCTCTATGTTCAGCTTTTTCAGGAAGCGCCAGACCGCCTTCCAGAATGGTTATACAAGCCCAACAACAACATATAAGTTTCTTTCTCGCTACATCCTCTCCAACATCTATTACTTGCTGCCCTCTTAAACTTTTATATTGTTACTGGAGTGAGATTGTACCTCATTGTGGTTTTTACTTGCATCTCCTTTATTGCCAGTGATTTGGAGCATTTTTTCATATGTTTGTTTGCCATTAGAATATCTTCCTCTGTGAAAATTCTTCCCATGTCTTTTGCCCATTTTGTAATTGGGTTATCAATATCAGTTTTGGTTTGTTTTTTTTTTTGTGGAGGCCCAGGAGTATTCTGTAAACTTTTATTATAAAGCTCTTGTCTGAGATGGTAAATGTTTGTTCCCAATCTGTAGGTTTTCTTTTAACCTTGATGGAAAAAGGTTTTTTTATATGCACAGGGATTTACTCTTTAGAAGATCCCATGCATCAATTTTATCCTCTTTAGATTGTGCATTTCTGGTTGTATTTGGTAGTCTCTTTATACCTTAAACTAGTGCTTCTAAGCTTTATCCCAGTTTGTCTCTTATGAATGTTATGGTTTTGGGCTTTACTCCCAGGTCTCGGATCCATCTTTAGTTGATTTTTGTGTATGGTGTGAGATGTGGATCCTGTTTCAGCTTTCTGCAGGTGGAAGTCCAGTTTTGCCAGCACCATTTGTTGAAGAGATTATTTCCCCCCCCCCATTTGATAGATTTTATTTCCTTGTAGAATATCAGTTGACCATAGATAGTTGGGTCTCTTTCTGGGTTCTCAATTCTGTTCCATTGGTCTATTTGCCTGTCATTGCTGTTTTGGTTACTATTGCTGTGTAGTAGGTTTTGGGTCAGGGAATGCTATGCCTCCAACATAATTTTTGTTTTTCAGAAGTGTTTTGCTTATTCAGGGTCTCTTGTCTCTCCAAATAAATTTGATAATTTCTCTTTCAATCTCCTTGAAAAATTAATTTGGTATCTAGATTGGGATTGCATTGAACATGTAGATTGCTTTTGGTAGGATTGTCATTTTCATCATATTGAGTCTTCCTTACCATGAACAACAGGGCACATTGTTTCATTTCAGCTCATGAATTTTGGTTTGCAATTTTTCAGTTGTTAGTGTACTGTTACTAGTTAATAAACTTAATTATCCATGTACAATTAGATGAAAAAGAAAAAGGGAATCACAAAACTTCAGCTTTTTTTTTACTTTTTAAAAAAAATTAATTTTAATGAAAGTTTACAGAGACTTTTGATTTCTGTTCATTCATTGTTAACACTTTTCTCCCTGCCCACCCCTCCCCCCAATTAGTTTTTCTCTTTGAAAAGTAGAAGAAAAATTCTTTCATTGCTATATAATCTCCCCCCCCCCCAGTCCACTCCATTGTGCAGCCTTCTTTTTGGACTCCTGTCATGACAATAATACATAATTAAATATCCCTTTTAAACAGTTCTCTCCCTCATCTGTTTCAATGCAGTATACATTATTTATTCCCCTCTTTCTCAGTCTCCCCCCAACCCTGATGTCAGTCCTGTTTTACAACAGTGGCACTATGCAATATTTGTCCTTTTGTGACTGAGGTATTTCACTCAGCATAATGTCCTCCAGGGTCACCCATTTTGTATAATATTTCATGGGCTTCTTGTTTTTCAGTGCAGCATAGTATTCCATTGTGTGACTATACCAGAGCTGCTCTATCCATTCATTTGTTGATGGGCACTTGGATTGTTTCCCTCTTTTTGCTATTGTGAACAAAGCCGCAATAAACATATGGATGTGCATAAAACTTCAGCTTTTATAAATGATTGTTATATTAAGGAGTTTTGTGTGAGTGTATCTCTAGAGTAAATTCCAGAAAGAATTGCTAAAACAAATGTTACATATATGCATAGATTTTTATCAAAGTGCCTTTTGAAAACTGAACCAGTTTATACTCTGAAAATGTTTCAAAGTGAACCTATATTTAATATTACACAAAGTGTTCACATTGTTTATTATAGTTTTGTGTATCTTTTGAATAGAAGCTATTTTGTAGCTTCCAGCTAAACTTGATAGAATGTAAAACTTTTGAAACTTTTTGGTCTGTCTGCTTTTTACCTCTAAAATTAACAGCAAACTGAAACTTAGGGTTTCATAAAAGCTTAAATACAGCAGAGATTGTGAGGATGGCAGGTGTCTAATTTGATAGCATCTAAACTATTAAAACTCCAATCTGTGAAACAGTTATTTCCAGCCACATGCAAGATAGTACTTTTTAAGTAGGAGATTACATTAAATTAAGCACAATGTTACCACCTTACAGATAAAACACTTTCAACATTATTTTTTTTTTCAACATTATTTTTAACATTACCTCCTCCCACAGATGTTTTGTTGATTGGGGTAGAGTTGAGCATGTCATTTCTCAAAATTCATAGAGTTGACAGAGGTATGTGGTTTAGGAAGTGAATGCCATTCCTGCTTCCACAGAAGTCTTAGAATAATTTATTGCGTTTCTCATTATAAAAAGTCTACTTTATACAATGTCTTTATAGGTAGGGTCTACTGTGTACAGTCTTTTAATCGGTACTCTTTTAGGCACAAGAGACAGAAACAAACACGCTCCTGTATTTATTCATGTTATATTTACCCATATTTTGAGATTTTTCCTGAATGCACTTAAAAAAGTCATTGTTACCTGTAAAACAGTTGATTCCGCTAGATAATTGAGAGCTGATTATAATTTCACCTTTTTAACTTATTTCCATTCTAATGTGCTAGCCTTGACTTTATAGTTTCTGTAGACATAAAAAAATTAAAACTAAATTGTTGCTTCTTGATATCATTTTAATGTGACACATTTTAGAGAATTGCAAGTTTTTTCCTGGGTTTTTTTCTTTTCTTCCTTGGCCACACGGAAGAAACAAGAACCCCTTGTTTGTGTAACTGATGTAATACTTGTGGTGGTAGATAAGTACTGTCAGAGTCAGAACCGACTCATTCATCCTCCAGTGGGTTTTCAGAGGCAGTAAATAGGATGTGAGATTACCCATCTTTCTTCTGTGGAGCAGCTGGTGGATTGGACTGTGTGCTTCTGGGTTAGCAGTCCAACTCTTATCTCCTAATATAAATCCTCCAGAACTCCCTATGGAATATTTACTGACTTGTAATTATATCATTTCTTTACTTATAGGAAGACGAAAACCACGAGTACATCGACCTCGTTCTCCAATATTGGAAGAAAAAGACATCCCGCCCCTTGAATTCCCCAAGTCCTCTGAGGATTTAATGGTGCCTAATGAGCATATAATGAATGTTATTGCCATTTATGAGGTCCTGCGGAACTTTGGCACTGTTTTAAGATTGTCTCCTTTTCGCTTTGAGGACTTCTGTGCGGCTCTGGTTAGTCAAGAACAGTGCACCCTGATGGCAGAGATGCACGTTGTCCTTTTGAAAGCGGTTTTACGTGAAGAAGACACTTCCAATACTACCTTTGGACCTGCTGATCTGAAAGATAGCGTTAATTCCACACTTTATTTCATAGATGGGATGACGTGGCCGGAGGTGCTGCGGGTGTACTGTGAGAGCGATAAGGAATACCATCATGTTCTTCCTTATCAAGAAGCAGAGGACTACCCATACGGACCCGTGGAGAACAAAATCAAAGTTCTGCAGTTCTTAGTGGATCAGTTTCTTACAACAAACATTGCTCGTGAGGAATTGATGTCTGAAGGGGTGATCCAGTATGACGACCATTGTAGGGTCTGTCACAAACTTGGGGATTTGCTTTGTTGTGAGACCTGTTCGGCCGTGTACCATTTGGAATGTGTGAAGCCTCCCCTGGAGGAGGTACCTGAAGATGAGTGGCAGTGTGAAGTCTGTGTAGCACACAAGGTGCCTGGAGTGACTGACTGTGTTGCTGAAATCCAAAAAAATAAACCATATATCCGACACGAACCTATTGGATATGACCGAAGTCGGAGGAAATACTGGTTCTTGAACCGAAGACTCATAATGTAAGTAAATACAGCCTTAATTTTTGCTTTTTGATTGATGTAGAATTACTGTTGCTGATGTAGTGTAAACCTTTGTAATTGAATAGAATTATATAGTTAAATATCTTCCAACTTGAAGGACTGTGTGCACTAGAACAGTCTTTAAAATAGCAAAGAAGAATGATGGAAGAAAGACAAATACATCACACTGTCTTTAATACCAGGGTAGCGGTTGCTGTTAGGTGCTGTCGAGTTGAGTATGAATGACTCATAGTGAGCCTGTGAACAGCCACCCTGGAACCCTGCCCTATCCTGCCATCCTATCCTCATCATCACCCTGACACACTAAAGCCCATGGCTAAAGTCACCATGTCAGTCCATCTGGTTGAGGATCTTCGCCTTCACTGACCCTCTGTCTTTCCAAGCATGATGTCTCTTTTCAAGGAATAGCCTTGCTGAACTGCATACCCAAAGTATGAAAGACGAGAATGTTTACCGGTTGGGAGGCCCTACTGTGTTCCACTCACATTTCCCTATTGCCTATCTCAAGATAATCCCTGTCCTAGCTTTTCTTTTTAGTTTTATTATTTCCATGTGTAAAATGGAGCAGCAGCACAGAGACTTGGATTTTTACAGTTTATGTCCTCACATGGTTTGTTTTCAGAGGTATTTGGGGAGCCTTTTCAGTCTCCATGTTGTGTCTTCCTCAGTTTTTGTTGGTTTGGGTTTTTTCCCTTCTGTTCGAGCGGTGACTTATTCATTGCAAATTCTGCCTCAGTTTTGAGCTTCTCTCAGGGACTTTCTCCTCTTCTCCTCTGTTGTATTTTTCCCATGAACTATCTTTGGATGTTGGACTTCCTATTTTGCTCCTTTGATTTGCTTATCTTCTCATCCCATTTTTCCTTTTTGTCTTTTTTCTTCTTGCAGGGTGTGTGTGTGTGTTTAATTTTCCTAGATCTCCTGATCTTTCAACTTTTCTATTCATTTTCTTCTTTTCTGCTCTTTTATTTTCTGAGAGGTAGCTTGGCCTCAGAATCATTTTTTTATTTAATGATAAAATTATGTATTTCATGAGTATAACTTTTTTTCTTACCTTTTTGAGCACATGAATTATCATTTTCCCTCTTTTTCTGTACATAAGTTTTATTATGCCTAAAATTTTTTTTATTTTCTTGGTGGTCCCTCCTGTCCTGATGTCAAGCTTTCATAGTGAAGGTGTGGCTGATGGTGTTTTGGTGACTAATTGGATGGTATGGGCTATATTCACTGTGTAAATTAAACTTTGCATATAGTTTCCATTAACCCCTCTGTTTTCTACTTTTGGTTTGGTTTTTTTTTTGTTTGTTGGGTTACCCCCACCCCATTTGTTGTGTGCTGTCAAATCGAACCCAACTGGCACAGTAGGAAATTGCCCCTCCTCCAGTGGAGCATCTGGTGGATTCGAACTGCATGCCTTTGGAATTGCAGCGCAGCTTCTTGCCACTAGGCCACCAGAGCTCCTTTGTTTTCTACTTTTGTTCACTGCTGAACCTGAGTTTCCTGTGTTCAGAGAGCCTCAGTTTACTGCCAGAGACCAAACCCGTAGGGAAACTTCGGTGGTGTAGTTTTTAGCAAGTTGCATTGCTAACTCAAAGGCCACATTTCTCTGGTGATTCAAATACATTAGCAGCTGCAAGAGAGAGAGGTAGGCAGCCTCCTCCAGGTGCAGTTTATAGCCTTGGAAACCCAGTGGTGGGGGGGTAGGGGGGTTGCTGTGAGTTGGAACTGACTCAACGCCAGTATTTTTAAGTCAGAAGATCAAACCTTAAGAGACTTGAAAGGGGAGACAGTCTTAGCATCTGCCTCTTAAACAACTTGGAACCAGTTTCTGTTTTCAGTGTGCCCCTCATTTTCAGTGTTTCTTGAGGATTGTTAGTTGTATTTGGTTCTCAGCTAAGCCTATTTGGGTTGGATTTTTTTTTATGTCAACCAAGGCATTTGTCACTTGTTAACTTCCTTCTAGGTGCCAAGTTTGTTGTTGTATACCTTGCTTTTTCTTGTCATGTGATTCTTGAGAATTTTGTAGAATAGCAAAATTTAAAAAAAAATAGGAAAATTAGATGTGTGAGTTGAAGCTGTCACCCTATCTAGAAACAGATTTGAGCAATAGTATACAAAATTTTAGATGTGAGTGGATATGTAGACTACATTATTAATACTTTTTAAGATCCCTGATGGCATGGTACATAATGTTAGGCTGTTAACTTAAAGTATGGCAGTTCGAATCCACCAGCCACTTTGAAGGAGAAACATGACAGACAGTCTCCTCCCCTGAAGATTAAGGCCTCAGAAACCTGATGAAGGGCCGTGTGAGTCAACGATAAGGGGGTGTTTTGGCTCAGTTACTTTTCCTAGTTAAACAGTAAAATCCTTCAGTTGTCTGTTTTGTAATGAAACTGTTCCTTTCTGTGTATTTGCTTGAGAAGTTTTAATTGTAGAATTTCAAAGTACCTTTCTAAATATAAAGTAAAATACATAAAATTGAATGATACCTTCAGGCAAGCAAGAGTGATTGATATCTTTTGTTGTGACATCCTTAGCACTTTTTACATAAAGTTAGGTGGGAAACAGAAAATACCACAGTTGTGATAATTAAGTATCCTGTGTCAATGATTTTATTAAATCTGAACGATGCTGCATCTTTTACTGAAATGATATTTAAACAATTTCAGCTTAAGTGCCCCCTTGTGGTAGCTTGTATGTGGGTTTCTGGTAAAAGTTTTAAAAACTGTGGCCATCAGGTAGCTTGTGTGTGAGTCTCTGGTAAAAGTTTGAAAACCTTGTTGCCATTGGTTCCACTCCTATTGACCCCAAAGGACACAGTAGCATTGTCCCAGAGAGTTGTCACAGCTGTCATCTTTATGGAATCAAACAACTACATGAAAATTTGAAAGCCATGTCAGTTGCTCAGACCAAAGAAATTTGGTGTGTGCCAGTCGGAATCAAACAACTACATGAAAATTTGAAAGCCATGTCAGTTGCTCAGACCAAAGAAATTTGGTGTGTGCCAGTCACTTCTTGTGACTGGAATTTAGGTTGAAGGGAATTTGTCTCTCAGTCTTTCAGTGGGACTTTTAAAATTGTAATATTAACAGTTTATAGAAATTGTTTCTTTTATTGCTATTACTTGTTTAGTAAACATTTAAAGTAGGTTATTTCTGTAACTTAACTCAGAACTCAGATTCATTGCCATCACGTCCAAACTGACTCCTAGCTGAAGCTCTTGTAATTTTTTGGAGCCTGTAGGTCATGTTGGAGGAGATTGCTCTGTTTCTCCCATGGAGCAGCTGGTGGATTCAAACGTCAGGTTAGCAGCTCAACTTTATAGACTAGATCGTCGCAGCTCCTGCTTGTTTGAGCTATGGTGCTGGAGAGGAGTATTGAATGTACCATGGACTGCTAAGAAAATGAACAGGTTCATCCTGGACAGGGTTAAACCGGGCTGCTCCTTGGAGGCAAGGATTCTGAGACTTCGTCTGACATACTTTGGACATGTTGCAAGGAGGGATAAGTCCTTGGAGAGGCACGTCATGCTTGGGAGGTGGAGGGACAGCGCAGGAGAGGAAGACCCTCAATGGGATGGATTGATTCAGTGACTGGGGTAATGAGGATAGGTGTGTTGGAGACTGTACAGATTGGTACAGGAGGATAGAGCACAGTTTAGGACTGTTGTACATAGGGTTGCTATGAGTCGCAGATGACTCGATGGCACATAACAACAACAATAAATATTAAAGAAGAGAAAGGCAGTATATAATTTTTTTCTTTCTAGTTCCTAAGAAGTTATGTTTCTCCTGTACTGTAGTCTGTCAGGGAGCTCTGGTGGGTGAGGAGTTGTGTTGCCAACCCTCGGGCACAGTTTGGATCCACTAGCTCCTCTGAGGGAGAAAGATGGGAAGTCTCCTCCCGTGAAAGGGTCAGTCAGGTGTCCCTTTTTGGTGGCACACAAACAACAGCATTAAGAGTAATTGTGCAAAAGCATAATAAAAGAGTTAAAATATTGTTAGAATTAACACAGATATTAAGAGAGCCCATGCTGTTGGAGAAATGATGCCAGTTGACATAAGGGTGGCCACAAAACTTGTGTCTGTGAAGAAGTCAGTATCTGCGAAGTGTAGAGTGATAGAGCCGAGTGCAGCCAGCTGAGGCACACCTGCCTTGTTTTCATCCCACGGCCCTTTGACTGTCACTAAACAAGGGTTACCAAAGTAAGCTAGCTCCCTTTACCTGTTGCTAGCCATTTTGAATAAAATTACCTTGAGCACATAGTTTACATTTAAAATGTTAGTTTTTATTTTCCAAATAAACGAAATTGTATTTTTAAAAACTGGCCAGCTTTCTACTCTCCCTCCATTGTAGCTTTCAGTTACTTGTACGCTGGTGGCTTAGTTGCCATCAGATCTGTGTCTGTGACACCATCCTTTTGCCCAGGTCCATTTCTGTTTGTTTCTCAGATGTCCACATGCAGGTATCTCAAACACAGCCTGTCTGAAACTCAGCTCCTTGTTGTTCTCATTACCTGTTCTCCATCCAGCATCCCCATCTTCGTAAGTAGGGTCACTAACCTCCTAGCTTCTCAAGCTCAGCACCTTATATGAAGCTTTTCAATATCTCTGAACTCTTGACTCCATGTCTCTCCATGCTCAGTGCCCCTACCATACCACAAATTCACATCATCTTCTTTAGACTTGTTAATGAACCTCCAAATTGGTTTGAATATAGGCCCCTCTTTCCTTCTGTACTGGATGGTTTTAAGACACCCATTCTGATCTCTTCTCCCAAGTTGAAAAACCTTTTTTTTACCTCCCTTTGCTCTTAGCAGAAGCTCAGACTCTTTAACTTAGATTTCTGACTTTGTACATTTAATTTTCTCCCTCTCTACTACCTGAAACAAATTAAGTAAAACATAACCACATTTCTTGGTTTAATTTCTCCTTCAAAGCTCTGCCTTTTTATGCCATTTCAGAGAGGTTCCACACACCCTCACATTGCATCTTGTAGCACTGCTACTAGTATAACAACATTCCAACTTAAAATTATTTGTTTTGAAGTAGATTCTTGTGCTTTGCATAGTCAGGAAAAGACTAGCAGTCGTGTATGGTGTATCTGCTAGATTCCATTCCTGTGCTAAGCACTTTCTATGCACAGTTGTTCTTGTGTATGGTCGAGTTGGAACCAACTCTTAGCGGAGCCTCCAGAAGGTTCTCAGAGGATGTAAAATGCATGGAAGTTGATTGCCCGTCTTTTTTCCTGAGGAACAGCTGGCAGATTCTAACAACATGCCTTTGAGTTGACGGTGCACTTCCTTACCACTAGCCCACCAGTATTATTTGTATATAGATACTGTCACCCATTTTTCCAAATATAAAATTAAAGGACGGAGATATTATGTAATTTATTTACTGTCACCTAGCTGGGAGAGTTAGGATTTGAACCTAGGCATTCACATTCTAGAACCTGTGTATCTTTTTCTTTTTTTCAAATGATATTAGTGTGTGTTGTGTGTGTGTGTGCACGCACGCGCCCCTCCTTCTCCAGCAGAGCATCTGGTGGTTTCGAACCTCGTACCTGTGGGATTGCAGTGCAGCTTCTTGCCACTAGGCCACCAGAGCGCCCTTGAACCTGCATTTGTAATGACTACTTGAGTTGTCAGACCTGTCATATACAATTGCTTAATTTCGTTTCTGTGGGTTTGTTTAGAAATAAAACTTAAAATTTACTGTTATTCATTAACTTACTTTCTTAGCCTGGATAAAAGCCAGACACATTTGCAAATATAGATAGATATAGTTGCTCTTAATTGCCATTTTGGCGGATTTTTTCATTCCAGTATGTGTTCCTTGTGTGCTGATTGTTAGTATCTTCAGAAAAACCAGGCCCCTTCTCCATAAGGAGCCTCATAGGAACAAAGATCTGCAAAACCCCCACTGTCCCTGTAAATGATAAGATGTACCAGTTAATGTAATGATATAGAAGTCATTCTTTTAAGTCACATTCACAATTGTTGTTGTTGTTGTTATGTGCCATCGAGTCACTTGCGACTCATACATTTGCTATTTAAACTGTGTCCAGATGTCCACGTATTCATATGGAGATTTGAAACAGAGATGTTTAATAACTATCCCTGGTCACACAGTTAATAAGTGGCGAAACCGGGTTTGAACCAAGGCTTTCTGCCTGGAAAGCCTGTGTTTCTCCTTGAGCTTCCTGAGTTTTGTTTGAAAGCATTAGCAATTATTGTTCACTCTGCTTTGATTCCTTTATCCATCTGCAGTGTCAAGAAGAATCATGTTAGGTCATACGTGAGTATTATTTTGATTAATAGAATAAGTAGTGGCTGGGAGCCATATTTTTAGGGGTCCATTGTCAAAACGGTGCTCAGGAAAATACTGTCAGAGAAAGAAGACTCTGGCCAGCATGCTATGAGGAATGATTAGTTTATCTGAGAATGTTTTGCCTGGAAAACCCTAAACAGTGGAAAATTATAGATACTGTGAAAGATTTGAAGGAGTGTGTGTGGAGGAGGTGTTAGATTTATTCATATCACTCCAGCACGCAGAATCAGAACTAATGGGTGGAAATACTAGAGATTTGAGTCATCTGGTTATAAGGAATTACTCTGTAACAGAGCAGCAGTTCCAGTCTAGGACAGACTGTAAAGTGTAGTGGTTCTTCTTTCCATCCATATGGGGAGTATTGTAGGTACCAGTGTGGACTAGACAGCCAGCTTCTGGGGACTTTTCCATAATTGGGGAGTTGCTTGGAAAAAAAGGACGAGATATCCATTAAATTGATTCCCGTAGCTGCTCACTTTTAAATAAAAATTTTCTGATTTGATACATTTTCTTTAATTTTTTGTGTGTGTACCATGAAATCCGATTTGACTGGTACTGGAGGAGATTGTCCTTCCTTCTCCAGCAGAGCATCTGGCGGATTCGAACTGCTTACCTCTGGGATTGCAGTGCAGCTTCTTGTGCCTAGGCTGCCATAGCTCACCTGATTTGTTAACATTTTCTATGAAAATTTTTAGGTATAAAGCTTTTCTATTCCCCTGGGAAATAGGTAGATATTTTTTACTAAAAAGGAAAAAAGTAAGCAAATTACAAATTTTTTTCATCCTTAAAAGAGAAGAAATTTTTTTCCTTTTTTTAAAAATTTAATTGTATTATTTTTACGTGTACCGTCAAATCAGATCTGACTGATACAGGAGGAGATTGCCCCCTCCTTCTCCAGCAGAGCATCTGGTGGATCTGAACCGCATATGTCTGGGATTGCAGTGCAGTGTCTTGCCACTAGGCCACCAGAGCTCCCTTAAAACAGAAGAAATTTTTAAGATTAATGCTTTTGAAAAATAAAAACCCATGTAAATCCAAGTTTTTGTAAACTTTTGTTAAACTATAAATAAAAAAGAAAATTTTTAAAAAATCCCGAAGCCAAAACAACACCAAACCAAAAAATCCCAGCTGGCTTGTCGCCTCCCATGCTCACTAAGTACTTTATGATTTGATAGTGTCACTTAATTAGGTTTCTGTTGTGGTGTTGTCTTTTGGGAGCTTTTTATGAATCTTTGTAATGAAAGAATTTGGACCTCTTCAGCATTGAAAATTGGCAAATTGAAATTCAGCACTCGGTCAAAAACAGCCTGTAGAGATATGCATTAAAGAGTATAGTCTAGAGCAAATGAAATAAAAAGCAAATGTCAGAAATTTGTGTAAAAAACTTTTAACAGAAAAATACTCTGCTCTATATGCCCTCAGAATCTGATACAAAAGAGCACAGCTAGGTAATAAGGACCTGTATTTTAAAATTTTTGGTAATTTTAGATGCCTTTTTATTGTATCCACAACTGAATGTAATCTGAATAAGTTGTTCCTGGAGTCCTATTAAATAGTTCTTGATTTACTACTGTTTTAGGCTTGGTTCTGCAGTGAAGCAAAACCAGTGATGCTTTTAACGTTGCCACCAATGACGGCAAATGTGTTTCTAATAAGCACGGTTGTCAATTTAAAAAGTGTGCGGCAACGTGTTAAATTTGTGACGTTTTTGTGTATCTGAATGTGCATATGCATGCATCGTTCTGTGTTGTGTACAGGCAAGTCAGAACCTACTCACAGCTGATGCTCCAGAGGGTTTTTAGAGGCAGTAACTTGGACAGGTTTCCCAGCATCCTATAAGTCTTTATTTGTTTACATATGTATAAAAGAGAGAGATGTTGATTGATTTATATAAAGGAAGTGACTCAGCTGCTCATAGAGGCTGGTGTGTCCCCAGTCTGTGGATTGGACCTCAGACGCGAGGCGTCTCAAAGTGACAAACTGCTGGTTAAAGTCTTAAGAATCACAGGTTTCAAGCCAGTGCAGGATCAAGTGAGCTCTGCCAGGTTTCCTCAAATACTGGTTGCAGGCCACACCCGCAGCGATTTGATCCTTCAGTTACCTAGCTACTCCTCACAGAGCCCAACAAGGGAAGGATTAATCCTTAAGGGGAATGAATACATTCTTCCTGCCAAATCAGACAGTAAGATTGACCAAGTTTACACGTTTACACATAAGCATGACCATTACAATGACCTTAATAATAACAACAGCATTTAGTGGTCATTGGTCGTGATCTGTGTGTTCCAGCACTGAGAGTGATGCTTTATCATAATGTCATAATACTTTTCATTCTTTTTTAAAAAAAAATTTTTCTTTTCTTTTCTTTTTGTGTACCGTAGAATCAGATCCAGCTGGCACAGGAGGAGATTGCCTCTCCTGCAGCAGAGAATCTGGTGGATTCGAACCAAAACTTTTTATTCTTAGCATGATCCTGAAAGGGAGGTGCTTTTACTGCATTTTACCTGAAAAGCAAATGACTCAGAAAGGCTGTGTCCTCCCTGAGCACATTTGAAGTCCAATTTTTCTTAAAACCTGGTTCTTTCTATCCCTTAAGTTTTCTTTGAATAAAAGGTCTGGTTGGACTTTGATCAGGTGTCTGTACACACAGTCTCCAGTTCTTTTGAAAGGGAGGATTCTCCCATTTTACATGTTCTCTATGTCTCCTCTTAGACATTGTTTCCTTGGTTTTTAGTTTTAGTTTTCTGCTGAAGTCTCTAATTCTGTTAAAAGTTAGTGGACCCCTAGTTTTAGAAAGTTTAGTTTTCGTTTCTCCACTTAGAACTTTGGAACAAGAAAGATGCTCCATTATTGCTAAATTGAGAGGCTGTCTCCAAGGGCTGAGCCTTAGTTAACTAAACTATAAAACCATTTTGGTGTCACTTTTTAAACTTATTGTATTGTGAATCTTCTAAGTAACATAGTTTAAACATTTGTGGTGGGTTAAAATTAGGCCCATCATATATTGCAGTAATGATTTTTTTTTAAATATTGTCTGTGTGTGTCGTCAAATCTGATCTGACTGGTACAGGAGGAGATTGTCCCTCCTTCTCCAGGAAAGCATCTGGTGGATTTGAACCTCACACCTCTGGGACTGCAGTACAACTTCTTGCCACTAGGCCACCAGAGCTCCTTGCAGTAATGATTTTAAAAGTCAGTTGTGGTTATCTGAAACTGTGCCTTCCACCCCATACTCTTCACACATCTCTAAAATTTTAAGTTGTCTGTGAATATCATAGTGTTTTGAGTATTCTGTGCTGCTATAAAAATAACTTTTCTTGGGAAGTCTTGGAGGTGACTCCTGGTCTCCAGATCTTTGTAATAAAATGCTTATGGATATTGCAAAAAAAAAAAAAACCCAAAAAAAACTTTTCTTTTGACAAACCTAAATCATTTTATCCAAAGTTGCAGTGGATATGGGAATAAAAAGAATTAGCTTGCTTAAATAAACAAGAGTAAATTGATTTTGTGTATGAAATGAGGGAATTTCTGCCAAAGGCATTGCCCTTTAGTGTCAGGTATTTTCACTCTGTATCAGAGAAGAAACATTGTGTTTAATGCAGAAAGTATTTTCGTACTTCTTTTCAACAGAGAAGAAGATACAGAAAATGAGAATGAAAAGAAAATTTGGTACTACAGCACAAAGGTCCAGCTTGCAGAATTAATTGACTGTCTAGACAAAGATTACTGGGAAGCAGAACTCTGCAAAATTCTAGAAGAAATGCGTGAAGAAATTCACCGGCACATGGACATCACAGAAGACCTGACCAATAAGGCACGGGGCAGCAACAAGTCCTTTCTGGCTGCAGCAAATGGTGAGAGAGTTTTCCAGTCTCAAGTTTTGTTCAGTTTGATAGAAATGCTTGCTGTAATATCACTACAGAACTTGACTGTCAGTTAAAATGATCCAGTAGATACATTTTACTTTCATTTTCAGCATTTCAATTATGAATGGTATACATTTTATGGTTTTCTATTTTGTCTTGGTCATGACTGATAAGTCCCCAATTTGTTTTTGTTTTAATTTTTCATGTCTTCGTAGGTTTTGAATATTGTAAGAAGCAGTTTTAAGATTTACTCCTTGCATGCTTTGTTTCAATAAGCTTTTAATTTTAGAGTAGTTTTGGATTTACAAAAAGGAAGGATTTCCATATGCCTTCTTCCTCCTATGATGTGTTTGTCACAGTTAATGAGCCAGTTCTTTTTTGTTTTATTTTTTACATTTTCTACTAGCTTATTTACAAAATTCTAATACATTGTTTTTAAAAAACAAATTCTTTCAATTCCCCTCACTCCCTTCACCCATCAAATTGTACAACCCTATGATTAATCCCCCTCTTCCCCTGCACATCCTCATCCCTCTGCTTCTACCCTCTCCCACCCCTCTTGGATCCTTATACTCATTCTACAATGATGGCTTTATACAGTATTTATCCTTGGGGACTAAGTTCACTCAGCATAACGCTCTCAAGTCCCTCCCAAGTTAGGTAATAATGAGCCGGTATTGATGCAGTGTTCTTCCATAACAACTTTTGTCAGATTTCTTTCATGTTCACCTAATGCCCTCTTTATGCCCATGATGATCCCGTCTGCAACACCCCATCACAGTCAATGTGCTTCTCTCTTTAGGCTCCTCTAGGCTCCGCCTTTCCTTGTCATGAGTTTGATGATTTGGAAAGTACTGATCAGGTGTTTGATAGTCTGCCCTTCGGTATGGGACTAAAGAAGGGTCTTGGGAGTGGCCCCTAGGTAGTACCCATAGATGGTAGAGAAAAGATTGACATTTCTGGTCCGTGCAAAGGGGCCTTGGGACAAAGGCATGATCAACTTCTGAAAACTCAGTTGTTAAAAACACCATGGAACGTGGTTCCCTGACACTCATGAGGTTGCCATGAGATGAATCAGGATTACCTTGTCAGTCACAGGCTTAGTTTCTGTGTGGGGCTAGGGCCTTAAGTCCAAGAAAGGGAAGTACCATTCTATTCCATCACATCAAGGAAACTTGGTGTTAGCATGATTGACTTATCCCTGATGCCAGTAACTTTGATCACCAGGTATAGGTAGTTGTTTTCATGTTTTTCCATTGACACTGCCTCCCCTTTTCTATAGCACTTTTGGAGAGGTAACATAAATGATCTTAAGTTCTTCACAGGAGATTTGTGTATCTCCTCCCTTTTTTAATTGTCCTTAACTTATATTTTTATGGAATCATGGATGTTGCTTTTATACTTTGAGTTAGAAATAAATTTTTTATTTTGTTACTCTGCTTTTTAAAAAAGTAATAAAAGAATTCTTTTCCCTCCTTTTCACCTATCAATAGTACAACATGATATGCAGTAAAAAGTGAACAATGTATTTGAATTTTGTAAATAAAGTAGTATAATTAAGGAAAAAATTCTCTCTGTTCATAATTTTCAACCTTTGCTTTTCTGGAAGCAGCCATATTGCCATTTTCTTAATCCTGCCAGAGAGACTCTGCCTGTGTAATAAGTGGCACCTGTATTGTCACAGGGCCTTTTAGACTGTTCAGTCAAAGTGAAATTGGAATGGACCCTAATTTGTAAAATGTGGGTGTATTGGATTACAAACCAGAATGAGGCCCAGTGCCCTGCTAGAAACATAGTTGCCCTCTTAGAAGACAAGGACTGCACGTGTGTTGCTTAGCAACTAAGTCTTTAGCAAAGAGTCGGAAACAGGTGGTGCTCTCAAAGATGGCCACCAGTCCAGCCACTCTGAATGTGTGTCGCTGTCCATGGTCGTTGTAATAATCCAGTGGCCTGCACCAAACTCTTTAAAGGGCTGCTTGTGCCCCTTCTAAATAAATCCTCCATCCAGAGCTCTGTCACATCATTTGCCCCACTGTTCTCATTCTGGTGCACCCACATTTTACGCATTTGTATTGCTTCCATTTCATTGCATGCTGGCCATGAGTGAATTTTTCAGCTGTACTAGAGCCCTGATTTTTTAACAAGTTTGCCATTTAGGTAAGATTCTGGACATGCACTTCAGCTAACAGCGTCCTCCTGCTCTTCTGGGTACATTTTCTATTCATATAAACCTGTCCCTTTTTGCCATTCTCCATTTATTGAAAATTTTTCCCATTCCCCAAATGCTTAAAAAAAATGGGATTTTTTAAAAAAAGATTTATTCCAGTCGCTATCTCTAAGCTTGTTCCCACATACTCTGCATCAGTATTCCCTTGTGTTCTTGAATATTTTTAGAAAACGACAGACTTGCTATATTGCTCCTAAGTACTATTGCATTACAAGAACACTTGTCTTCAGGAATGAAATTATTTCTTTGTCAAAGATTATATTTAGGCATATATGATAATTGGAGGTATTTCTGTGTTAGATATGCTTAGAAGAATGTGTAAAAAGCTTCATAAGAAAAACTTGAATCTTCAAAATTCTTGAGGGAGTCAATAATTGCCATAAGACAATTCTATTCCTTTTCCTTCTCCTCCTTTCTATAGATCAAAAAAATTGGGAAGTTATTCATTTTAGCTGGGTTACTTCCATCTTATGTCCGTTCATGAATTAAGTCATTAAAATTGACAAATCTCCAGAGCTCTGGTGGCTTAGTCCACAGGTTGCTAATCAAATATGATAAATCTCTTGTTGTCTTCCTGTCTGCAGCTTTTAGTACAATAAGAGAATCATAGCCAGTCGCCTGAAAGGTATTGTGTACTTTCATCAGGAATATTGAATTTTAAATGCTTTCGGAGTGAGCTTGTCTTGATACAAATTTGTATATAGAGAATCATCTTATCTAAGAAAATTAAAAACAGAACCAGGGCATTAAGGTGAATTTCTTTCCTCCAAGAAAGCAATTAAATAAAAAGAGCAGCCTTTATCAGTAAAATGGTTGGTATTACACAATTAAGAGCTTCTCATACAGTCCTGTATGAGTCCATAAAGCATGTTTAATTCCTATATAATTTAGTATGTTATGTACTTTATTAAAATTAGTTAAACCTTAATAGTAATTAAGAGCAGCAGAGAGTGTTGAGCTTTGGGCTATAATATATTCTTAGAAAGTTCAAAGATAAAAACTGGGAAATTCATATACTTCTGTGTCCATTTTGTTGTTGTTGTTGGGTATTGTCAGGTCAATTCTGACTCATACCAACCCCGCACTCAACAGAACACACTGCCCCGTCTTCCACCATCACAGCCATTGCCATGTTTGAGCCTGTTTTTGAAGCCTCTCAGTGTGTCAGTGTATCTTGTTGAGTTTCTTCCTGTTTTCACAAACTCTGCTAGGTATGATGTCCTTTGCCAGGGACTAGTTCCTCCTAGTAACATGTCCAGTGTACATGAAACAAGTGTCTTGCCATCTTGTTTTTGGCTGTTCTTCCAGGACAAGTTTGTTTTCTGGCTGTCAGTCCATGACATATTTGACTTTCCTTGCTAATACCATCATTCAATGACCTCATTTTTCTTCATCTTTCTTATTCATTGTCCAACTTACAAGGTGGTTGAAAACACAGTTTTCAGCTTAACATACTGTTGTTTTGGTTTTGGTAAATTTTTTAAATTTTGTAATATTTTTTATTTTTTTTTGTAATTTTATTATTTTTTGTGCATTTACCATCAAATCGGATCTGACTGGTACAGGAGGAGATTGCCCCTCCTTCTCCGGCAGAGCATCTGGTGGATTTGAACCCCGTACCTCTGGGATTGCAGTGCAGCTTCTTGCCACTAGGCCACCAGAGCCCCCAAATTTTGTAATATTTTATAAAATTTTTCAAAAATGTGAAAAAATGGAAAGAATTCCTCATCATCTCGATACTCCAATTAAAATTTTATTATATTTTCTTAATCACCTAATTATCCGGTAATTGTGATAGTCCCCATTTAGCTTTGTTTTAATGGATCTTAAAAATTCTGTGACAGGTTTTTGTACCTATTGCTTCCAATTTAAATTACTAATTTAAAAAACAGTGTAAATGTACTACATTTGGAAACAAATGGTGCACAAGGCAGCCCTTTCCTTCTGAAACTTTTATTATGCATTGTTATCATTAAGCCAGCCTTTCACTTTTAAACTGAAATGACCAATTGAGATAAATATTTCTGTGACTGTTCCACCTATCACTCTTTAAGACTAGAGTGGTTAATGTTAAGGACATTTGGTAATTGTGTTTTACAGTCTTTATTTTGCTTGTTTGAAAAAAAGTTAATTTTTAGAATAATTGTTTAAGGAAAGATGAGTTTTTTAAACCTACAGGCTAATTCATTCCATTTTTGTTGTCGTTGTTTGTTTTTAAGTCTAGAGCACCCAGGTGGTCTCCTGCCCAAGTACTTACCAGGCCTGACCCCATGCCATTGAATTTTGAAATATATTTTTGTTGTTGTATGTACCATTGAGTTGGCTACAGATCATGGCGAGTCTGTGAACAGTAGTTGTAAACCCTGCCTATCATGTGCTATCCTCATCATTTCTGATAATACACTTGAACCCATTGTTACAGTCACTGTGTTAATCCATCCTTTTTTTTCCTTTTTTTATTTTTGTTGTTGTTGTTTACCATCAAATCAGATCCAGCTGGCACAGGAGGAGATTACCCCTCCTTCCCCAGCAGAGCATCTGGTGGATTTGAACTGTGCTTTCGGGATTGCAACACAGCTTCTTGCCAGTAGCTGACCAGAGCTCCCTCGTGTCAGTCCATCTTAATGAGGATCTTCCTCTCTTACACTGACCCTCTGTGATATCCCTTTCCAAGGAATGGCCTCTCCTAAAAATATGCCCAAAATATGTGAAGACAAAGCATTGCATCCTTGCCTTCAAGGAACACCCTGGTTTCACTTTCTCTAAGACAGACCTCCTTGTTCTGTAGGCAGTCCATGGGATATTTAATATTCTTCTCCCAACACCACGACTCAAATGCATCAATTTTTCATAAATACAAAATTATTTAAAAAAAAAAGATTGTGCGATTCCATTGATAAGTTAAATGTACTAGACAAGAAAGAATGAATGAAGTGGGGTAATGATGGGCATGGATCAATGGTGATTAATTTTAAAAAACACAGGGTATGGGAATAATTGTATGAAACACAAAGTGAATGGAGAAGTTTGTGAAGCGCACAGTGTGTGCAGATGAAGCACAGTGTATGTGAGTTCTGTGTGCAAATCTGTATAAAATAAAATAAAAATAATTAAAATTTTAAAAAGAATTAATTGAGCAAGGGTAAGTGATAATTCTAAAGCAGGTAGGTTTTCAAAGGCAGTTAATTGCACAGGAGGAGATTGCCCATCCCCCCACAGAGCACTGGTGCCCTTGAACTTCATGCCTTTGGGATTGCAGTGCAGTGTCTTGCCACTAGGCCACCAGAGCTTTGAACAAGTAAGTAAGCATAGAAGTTGAAAGTCAGGTTTCTTACTGTCAGAGAAACAAATTACAAATAAGTGAGTGGACAGTGGTAGAAGGAAGAGAGTATGTGTATGTGTAAGTGTATACAGACACAGTATACAGGTATCACATACAAAGATATATAAATGTGTATCGACAAGGGTAGACATACGTATATTTTCTAACTCAGTCCACTGAGAGAGCCTAGCATTAGTGACAGCCTTGTAGTAACAAGTAGGCCTAATGCTGAGATAGTGACAGGTAAATATCATTCTCCAGTAAAAGACACAGAACTTCTTTGAGAGATGGTAAATTCTTCAAGCTGGAGTGAGAAAAATAGTAAATTTGCCTGGGACATCTTGCAGTGCTAGAAAGTAAATCAGGTTCACTGTACCGCCATCAAATTAATTTCAACTCTAACACCCCTGAAAGGACAAAGTAGAACTGCCCCATAGGGTTTCCAGGGTTGTAAATCTTAAGTCACAATAAAATGTATCATATATAAGATAGCTTTATCTTCCTTAGAGCAGTGGTACCTTAGAACTCCCTATCTTTTGGCTAGCAGCTAAATGTTTTTACCACTGCACTTCTAGGGAGCGTGGATGTCTGGTGGCCTATTAGTAGGAAGCTGTGCTGCAGTCCCAAAGACACTGGGTTTGACTCCACCAGCTGCTCCACAAGGGAAGGATGAGTAGTGTCCTCTCATGCAAATTTCTGCCTTTGAAAACCCATTGGAGAGTCAGCTATGGATTGGTTCCAGCAAATAACACCACCACCACCTAGGGCCATAGAGTAAAACATGTGCTAAGCTGATAAGAAAAGAATGTGGTATATCAAGGACATAGGGCTTCACCAAAGAAGCTGTCTGTGGTCAAAGCTGGAATAGTATGAGCAACAGAATTAAAAATGATAGCATTAGAGTAGAACCTGAAGAATATGGTTCAGATCCATGAGTCATTCTGTGGTCTCTGTCCTGTGGTCTGTTCCATTCCACTCTGTCCAAGGAGAAGGAGGGCGAGAACATCTTAGAGATCTTGAGAACAATAAAGAACTTCAGAAAGAAATGTTTCCAAATAGACTTCTATTTTACCATGGAGGAAAGAAATAGCAACTTCAAGAGGCTAAGTGGCTTGCCTAGAGTTGCCCAGCTAATTCATGCCAGAGCAGCCTTGGGTCACAGGTCTCACGGGGTTTTGATCAGTGAACCTTGCTTACTGTGTTATTTTATGGCAGAAATTGTGACTACAGACTAGAGCAATTTTAGAAGAGAAACTAGTCTTTTGGTTTTGAGTAGAGCCTCTAAATAGTGTGGGATTTTTTTTTTTAAGTGAAAGTAACCCAATTTGTTGAGTTCTCTAAATGAAATTTCATTAGTAATCTTGGCCCTTATTTCATAGTTTTGACTATTTTAAAACTATTTAATAACGCGTTTGAAACTTAATTACATTTCTAAGACTTATGTTTGCTAAAATGGAAATAAAATGTTTTATTTGTTTTCATCACAGAAGAAATTTTGGAATCCATAAGGGCCAAAAAAGGAGAAATTGATACTGGTGGAAGCCCTGAAGAAATAGAAAAGGACAAGAATGAGACTGAGAATACCGACTCAAAAGATTCTGAGAAAAGCAGAGAGGAGTTGGAAGGCCAGGCCCTTGAAAAAGACGGTGATGACCAGACACCAGATAATGGTCCTGAACAAAGCAAATCTGAGGGTAAAAAAAATTACTTCACTAAAAAGAAAATTATAAGGTGTTTTGTTTTAAGGTTTTTATTTTTCATTAAGTGAGACTTCTAGTTTTAACTGTAAAATAGAAATGTCCTTTTTATTGCAAGCAGCCACTTAATTTTACATTTCTAAAGAGATTAGGACAAAACACACACATACATTTTCAAACACACTCTCCTTACAAGATACTGGTAATGAGTGAATAGATTTGCTATATTGATATACTCTCTCCTTTTCGTCTTTCTAGTAAATTCCCTTTCCTCTATGAGATTTATTATGATAAATTACTTTATTATGCCAGTAAAATTTTTACTTAATTTTTACTTTTACTAAAAATAACTTTTTAAAATACCAGACTACATACTTTTTTGTATGTGAGAAATGTTAAATTTTTTTTTATTTCTTAAGCACTGTTAATATAGAAACCTTTTTTTAAAAATCCCAGTATTAAATATTTTTAATTAGTGTCTGGATTGCCTGCCACCAAATGTCTTGGTGACCCTTCATTATTAGTACTTGATCAAATGTGGCCATTCAGCCTGAAACATTTTTTTAAGAGTATCTTTAAAGTTTTGTTGTGCATTTTACTGTAGAGCCAACAGACGTTGGGGATAAAGGTAACTCTGTGTCAACAAATCTTGGCGACAACACAGCACATGCTTCTTCAGAAGAGCCTAGTCCCTCTGAAGGGAGGAGCCCCGTGGGGTATCTCTCAGAAACCCACGATAGCAGCAACATGGCAGAGAAGAAGGTGGCATCTGAGCTCCCCCCGGATGTACCAGGTACAGAGGGCACCATATCAATGCCTCTGTAATGGGGGGAACCCTTCCCTTTGGTAGTAAAGGCGGAATGTCACCTAAAACCTTAGAGTATGTGTTTGTTCATGCTGCTTGCTTACGATGCCATCCCTGATTGCTCAATTGTCGCCTAACATTTGGAGTTTGATAAATGTTCTTGGAGTCAGTGCTTGAAACTCATCATAATTTACTTCATGCTTTTTAAAGTTCATTTTCGCTTATTTGTCTATTCTTTTTCATCAGACCATAATGACAGACATTTTGGTTTTAAATACTTACATACTAATTAATGGCTGAGTTTTGAATGATCTCATCCTTCCTTGTATATACTAACAAATTAATTTTATGTTTGCATGTGCTTATTTAGTTCTTTTACAACATCCTAAGCCACAATGTTATGATAGAAAACCATTGTCACAAAACATTTTTGTAAAGTGTACTTTGAAATAGAAATGCAAGTTAACCTGTTGTTTTAAATTGTGTTCTTTTGCAATTAAAATTATACTCTTAAGTTCAGTCTTGCTAAGAATGTCACTATGGTTTAAAAAAATTTTTTTAAAGGATTCGATTGTTGGACTCTTATGAGGTTTTTTTTTTAATTACCAAATTAAGAGAGCAAAATAAGAAAATAAATATCCAGTATCATAGTTAATATCTTGTTGGCAGTTTTTAAAGAGGCTTTTTGCCCCCCATATGTATAATTTTCAAATTATCATTACTTTCACTTGCTTCATTTAATGGCGTGCTTGGGTTGTAATAGGAAGGAGATAGAGTTTGTTGTTGGAAGATGTTCATTCTTGGGACACTTCTGCTGTGAAGCCAATGGCTTTCCTCTCTCAAGGTCTTAGTGTGCTAATTTTGTTCTTTGACAATCAGTAGCTCTTACGGTGACTAAAATTTGTGACTCCCTATTTTGAGTTTCCTAGACTGTAAAGCTTAAAAAAAATCACTACCTCAACTTTGTCGTTCAGAGTAGCTGGGGGATTTGAACTTGCAATCCTTTGGTTAGCCAACCAAGATGCAACCCATATGTCACCTAGGTTCCTTTTGTGTACTCATCACCACCATGTATTTCTAAATTTTTAAGCAGCATCACACTCTACATAAACTTTGTGTCCTTAGGACGGTAACTCCTCTGCTCCTCTGCCCTGCCTCTGGTAAATTTCTGTTCTACCTTCTGTCTCTGAATTCACCTTTTCTGGTGGATAATTTGCTCTGGTGGCTTAGTGATAAAAGAGTTGTGCTGCCAACCTAAAGGCATGTGGTTTGAATCCAACTGCTCTGCAGGAGAAAGATGATTAGTCTTCTCCTGTGCAGTTTACTGTCTCTGAAAACCTGCTGGAGGGTCAGCTATGAGTGGGTTCTGACTCAGTGGTACTCGACAACAAAAACAGATACTTCTTAGAAATGGAATCAGATAATATTTGACTTTTTTTTGTAGTTCATTTACTTGGCTTAGCATAGTACTTGCAAGTCCCATGTCTCAGAACTTATCTTTGTGACTAATAGTCCATTTTATGGGTAGACCACATTTTGTTCCTCTGTTGATAGCCAGTTGAATTGTTTCCACGTGCTAGCTACTGTAAGGCAGCTACAGGAGCATTTTGCATCTGTACCTTTTTGTGTCTCTGCTTTTGAGTTCTTTGGGGCACATACCTAGGAGTACACAGTCATGTGGTAGGTTTATGCTTAACTGTTTTGGAATCGTAGTTGCTCAGTTTTTAGTTATATTCATTCAGTGTTATATATATTCATTTCTCACACTTATTTATTGTTCTTTGTTTTTTTAGTAATTTAAAGGGAGAAACTGAATCTTAATATCTGTAATTTTAAAAAATGACACAGTAATTAATATTTACAGAGCCCTCAGAGTAGTACCTGATACATGTTACTCATTTACTCACTCATTGTCATTGAATTGGAACCAGCTTGTTGGAACCAACCCTCCCGGGAGTTTCCCGAGGCTATAAATTGTCCAGAATGAGATTGCTCTTCTTTCTCCCACAGAACCTCAAAATCTGGTGGATTTGAACCACCAAGGGGCGGGGTGGTGGGGGGAAGAATCATTTTGGGGTTAGCAGTGAAACTTCTACCCACTGGGCCACCAGAGCTCTCTGATCTATATTAACTACTCAGTAAATGGTGAATATTATTATCACTGGTATATATTACTAGCCCTTTGAGAGGATAAGAAAGCCCAGCAAGAAAAAGACTAATAAAGTAGGGGATTTGCATTACATATTTACTGATTTAGACATTATTGAGAAAGAAAATTCTAGAGTCATTCTTTGCAATTCAAATATATTTTGGCAGAAAAATCTGCCTTGGAGAATTTTTCAGGGGAACCTGAGAATTCTAGAAAGAAGGTAGAGTGGAAGCAAGTACCCCTTTGGAGTCATTGAAAGTGTTAGCATGAAGATGCTGCCCTGTAAGAAATAAAAAACCTGACCATTTAATAACTCATAGAGCTCTTTCTTTATTGCTCAGAAAAGCAAACAAAATTCTAGAAAGCTGACATTTCCATATTTGTGTCAGAAAGATTATGAAACACATTTATAAAGATTTTAAAGAGAAATGGAGAAATTTTATATTTATATAGATTTCCTCTCTTTATCTTTCATGTCCTTCCTTTTATCTTCTGTGCATTTTTGTGACCCAGCTTCCTTAAGAAAGGTATTTTGACGATTTTCCCTTTCTCTCTCCCTTAAATATTACCCAGTAGTGTTTAATGTATTTGGCTGATACATGAGAGGTTAGCAGTTTGAGTTCACCCACTGCTGTGTGCAAGCATGGTCTACAGCCTGGGAAGCCCAATGGGAAACCAGCAGGGGTCGGACTTGACTGGCTGGTTGCAGTTTTGTGTTTTGTCTGTGTGTGCTGGTGAGGCTGTCACCTTCTGGTTAGTGTTGCTAGAGTGGCGTTCCACAGCTTTTCTGTATCAGATTAAAGCGTTTCTCCTTACTGCTTTTTTGATGTGGGTGATTTTTACTTATTTGAGAAATAATGTGCTAATTAATAGTGAATTATTTGGAGATTTTTCTGGTTATCATTTTGCTTCAATATATAATTTAATACATTATGGTCAGAGAACATTTGGGGGTGAGGTTTGTTTTATGATCCATGAGGCTTGTTTTATGGCCCAGCATTTATTGTTGTTATGTACCATCCACTTGGAACTGACTCATCACTGGCCTCCAGCAGCCTTTCAGAGTCTGTAGATCTGGGGGAGAGATTGCCCGTCTCTGTCCCGAGGAGCACCAACGTACCTGGTGGGATCGGACCTTTGTCCGTGAGTTGGCAGCACAACACTCTAGGTACCTGAGCTCCCTGTTTGTATGTATGTGTGTTTTCATATTCTGTCAGCATGTACATTACAGGACCGTTAAATCCAAGTTTTTCATTATGGTATTCAAATTTGTACCTTTGCTTGGTTTGTTTCTGATGTTTTAGTATTATTTCTAGTTAGTGTCTTTTTCTCTAGTTTTTCATTATACATTTTGAGAATATATTATTAGATATGCACAATATTGATATTTTCTTATTGAATTATCTTTTTGTCACAGTAAAACATCTTTTTTCTTTAGCCGCACTAGTTTCTTTTGATTAGTATTTATATTGAATATCTTTTGAGGTTAGAAAATTTTTTGTTTAATAATTAGAAAATTTAAAATATATTTTTAATAATTTTTATTGTGATTTTAACAAAAGTTTACAGCAAACTTGGTTTTCTGTTCATTCATTGTTGCACATTTTCCTCCCTACTCCCCCACCCCAGTTTGCTTTTCTCTTTCAAAGATTCATTCCTTGTCGCTCAGTTTCCCCACCCCCCGCCCCACCCCCAGTCCACCTGGGCACCTCTTATTCTGGACTGTCATGTAAAAAGTCTCATTAGAACGACCTCTACTGCAGAATTTCTTTATAAAGATGTTTGCTTAATTTAAGCTGTGTTTTGAAGTCTTATTAATGAGCATGATCATTTTCATGTAATACAATACATGTAAAGGAAAACGTGTACATTCTTCAGCATGAAGGAAAATAAAGGGATGAGAACTTAAAGATCAGGTACCATGATTTTATCAGAGAGATTTTACATGGCTTAGATTGAAGATCGAAAACTTGGGCAGTATTTTAGGAAATGGTGATAGTAAATTTCTTTTTCCACACATTTCATCTTTAGTTCTTGAAAATGGTTTAACTTTTTTATAGGTAAGATGGTTCTGTGAGTTTTGTGTAGCTCTCAGTTTATTAACTAACACCACCTTGAAAGGTTAACTGCATGGAATCTGAGTCTTGCCTTCAGTAGGTTAATGTTTTTTTCCAGTTCCTGAATACCTAGTCAAATATATAAAGTAGCTGGGTAAATAAATATTGTTGTGATAGCCATAATAGCACACAGCACTTTATACATAAAGTATTTGAGATGTGTATAGTCTGAACATTTGCATTTTTACTTTCTTGTGGTTAAAAGCCACCATTTCGGGTATGTTGTTAGCTGCCATTCATTTGACACTTGTCTCTGGACAGCTCCATAAACAATGGAAGGAAATGCTGTGTGGTCTGATTCCATCCCTGCTGTCTGATGATGATGACCACGAACAGACTGATATGAGCTGTGCATTTTCTTTGGCTCACATCTTGCAGTTCATCACATCTGTCTTCCTACTCTGTCTTTGATGCTCTGTTAAAATGAGCGTAGCAGAAAAGTAGCATAGCAGCCTTTGCTGACAGAAAGTTAAGTGTACTTTCCACATTGAGGTGCACTGGCTGGGACTTAAGTAAAAGGCAAGACTTCTGTAATTAAGTCACCAGTGCTAGCACATGGAGTATATGTGGCCTGAAAATGTTGGCATGTTTTTGTTGTTGCTTTGTTTGGGGGATGAGGGATGATTTAGAATCTATTTTTTTTTCTTTTATTTCTATCAAACAAACATTCTGAGTTTGAATTATATTCTACCAGACAGCACATCGTACCTATGAATTCCACATACATCTCTAAAGAATGTGAACATTTTCTCATACAGTTACAGTGCCATTTTTCTTTTTTTGACTTTTTATTTTATTTTATTATTTTTGTGTGAGTGTACCGTCAAATCAGATCTGACTGGTACAAGAGGAGATTGTCCCTCCTTCCCTGGCAGAGCATCTGGTGGATTCGAACTGTGCGCCTCTGGGATTGTAGTTGCAGCCATTTTTCATTTTATAAAGCTGATAATTCCTTGATGCCGTCTAGTAAGCATTCTACATTAAATCCCCCCAGTCGATTTAAGGTCATTTAAAAAAACCCAATGCACACATTAGTTATGTTTGAGATAAATCTAAACAATGTCCGTCCACAGATGGCATGCCGTGTTTTTGCTTTTACATTTCTTTTTTTTTAGAATTTTATAAAATCGGTGAATTATTCATTGTAAATACCTTTTTTAAAAAAAAACATTTATTAGCATCTTTTTAAAAATTTATTATTAATTTCAATGAAAATTTACAGAGACTTTGGATTTCCATTCATTCATTGTTGCACTTTCTCCCCTCCCAACCCTCCCCCCTAGTACACTACCCTCTTGGAAAAGTAAACCCCCCAGGTCCACTCCACTATACAGCCTTCGCTCTCGACTCCTGTCATGACAAAAATCTCTAATAATTTTCCCTCTTAAACATTTTTCTCCCTCATCTGTTTCAATGCATTATACATTATTTATCCCATCCTTCTCGGTCTCCCCCCAACCCCATTGTCATTGTCCTGCTTTACAACAGTGGCACCATGCAGTATTTGTCCTTTTGTGATGGAGATACTTCACTCAGCATAACATATTCCAGGGTCACCCATTTTTAATAATATTGCTTGAGTTCCTTGTTTTTCAATGTAGCATAGTATTCCATTGTGTGAATATACCACAGCTTCTCTATCCATTCGTTTGTTGATGGGCACTTAGCTTGTTTCCAACTCCTTGCTATTGTGAACAAAGCCGCGATAAACATGGGTGTGCATATATCTGCTTGGATGTCCGTTATGGTCTCTTTGGGGTATTTTCCCAGTTGTGGAATTGCTGGGTCAAATGGTATCTCTATTTGCAACTTTTTGAGATAGCGTCAGACCGCCTTCCGCAGTGGTTGCACCATTTTACACTCCCACCAACAGTGAATAAGGGTTCCAGTTTCTCCACAACCTCGCCAGCATTTGTTGCTTGCTGTTCTGTTAAATTTTGCAATTCTGACTGGGGTGAGATGATATCTCATAGTTGTTTTGATTTGCATCTTTCTAGAGCTAGGGATTTTGAACATTTCTTCATGTGCTTGTTAGCCATCTGAATGTCTTCTTTGGTGAAGTGTCTGTTCATATCCTGTGCCCATTTTTCTACTGAA